CACACAGACAACCTCTCGTCAATATGCGTTTTCTGCATTGCATAGCTGCAAAAAGCGCATAAAAATGTTATCTTACGCAAGCAGCAGCCCTCTTAAAATGTGCCACGTGACGTAAAAAACCCCTCATTCACAAAAGAAATGATTCGGTTTCTCTTTTCTATATCCCCAAGTCAAGCTTAAAAACCAAAACCTCTTCCATACTCACTCATTACAGCGGTGGCACTCAAGAATAAATTGAATAAAGGCAAGCACCAACGCCAACCATCAGCTAGCAAGTCTGCCGATGGCTGCCTCTTTCACGAATTGCTTATAAGTAAGCTGAGGGGCGCGTGGGAAGGAAGGGTTAACTTCCTGGTATAGGCCAGTACAATTCGAATCCTGGATCTTTAATAAGAAAGCAGTGTTATTTGTTACTGCGTCATGCCCGCCAGCATACTGTAAGGTTTTCAGTGAAACTTCTTAAATTCTTTAACCCAGTGGATGTTTACTGTACATATACATAGTAAAAAGCCTTTGAGTTAAGAAATTTATATATACACATATATATATGCATATTCCTGGTAGTCTTGGTATAGATAAATCCCCGAAAAACAAGACATATATAGAATTAGCAGTCTCTGGGCTATCATATATATAGTGAAGTCAGCATACTGTAAGGTTTTCATTGAAACTTCTTAAATTCTTTAACCCAGTGGATGTTTACTGTACATATACATAAACCCGAATCTACTAGAATCTATGTGCACTCGAATAAACACTCCTTAGATTTATTACCGGTAAAAAATAATTTAAAATGTGAAAATAAATACCACTAACCTGCTTTAGATCCAGAAAATGAAGTTTCATGCCGTTGGCTGAAAGATATACGTTCGGAGTATAGTCGAATGGACGACCAGCTTTCAACCATGTTACGGTAGGCATCGGCCGACCATATGCGGGACAGTTGATTGTAAGTGCCGTTCGCGCTTTAGCACCAATTTCCGATGGTACTCCTTCACGTTCTATTTTCGGTGGAGCTCAAAACAAAAATTTATTTTCTCCGATATCTGTATTGAATTGGTTATATTAACAAATTTCTGAATTAAAGCGTCTCTTTAGCACCTGGAAATGTCGCACGATCAAAACTGAATTTTAACTAGAAGCAGTGCGACTGTTCTCAGCTATTCTAGGTAACGTACTCGTTTATAGCGAAAGGGTCTCCTAACCTCACTTCTCTTGTTGTATCATCCATATGTGTTGTGAACATTGCTATTTTTGTTTAAGGTCCGTCCACTACGGCAAAAAAAAAAATTTAATTTAAAGACCCGTACTTTTTTAGCTTTGGTCTTCATTCATCCATCACTTAAACCAGGATTTAAAGAGATGGACAGGAAAAATTGAGGTTTTCGTATTTAACTTCTGATAAGCACAAAAGTTTTGAGCCTCCGAGTTGTTGAGTTTGTCTTTGAAATTTCCTGAATTTTGAGTTTTCTCCTATGGAGGAAAATCAGAAAATTCAAACCTTAGGGTCTGCTGTTTAATTTTTTAACTTAAAAATTAGGATATTTTAGACAAAGTATACCTAAAAATCAAAAGAAACAGTAAGGACTATTGAATGCCTTAATCTGTTCCTAATATCTCCTTTTGTACTATTTCGAACAAGTAATCAATGCCCAACGGCCAAAAGTTTCGAGGCAGTTTTCCAATAAAAACTCGTTTATGACAGAATTCGACATAAACATCTGGAAGAACTACATGCTGCAATTGCGTCACTGCCATTCAGGTTGATATTGACGATGCTGCACTGCTGCATGAATTAGGAAATACTTACTCATGACATACAGTAGAATATCTTGCTCCGTCATTCCGGCTTTATTTTTTGCTTCGCAAGTAAAACGTCCAGAATTTCCCACCTAAAAAATTTATCGAATTAATTTTTACTTACATTAAAACAAACACTGTCGGAGGTTATGACGCAGTGGCAAGCAGCAGTTCGCTCTCATTAAAGGCCGAGGAGTTGATCCAGTCATCATTTAAACAGTTCCTCTACAATTCTTTCATTCGTTCATTCCACAATAAATTGCCACTTGTGCCAGCGAGCCAAAATTGTTATCATGCCCAAAAGTGAGTCATCTACAGTCTTGCGAACGAGTAGATACTGTTGATGCATATCACCACTTAGCTATTATTTATTTAACTATTCGGGCTATTCACAAGTACCTCTGCTTACCATAAAAAGTAAATGCTAAAGCTGATTTGGGCAATAATGTTAAATTTTTCCCCAATTAATTCTTTGGGTCACAGTTTCCTATCTTCGTTTCAGTTGTTGAAAAAGGAAATCTTTAGACAAAAATTTTGTGGTTCAGAAGTAAATCCTACTCTTTTCTTAAATAAAAAGTAGTCCTAGACCGGTTAAAATCAGTCCAGGTTTCTTGAAACATAATTAAAAGTCGAGCGCGGTCATTTATTGTTCTTTTTTTTACTACTCACTAATACTTACCATTGATATTACTTCTTTTTTAACACCACATATCAAACTTTTGACCAGAAATGAATAAAACTGCTGACCTGAACGCGTGAAATTTTGAGATCATTGCCTTCCAGCTGGCCAGTTCGAATTTTGGATGTGATATTATGTGGTGCTAATAGTTCACCATCTTTGAACCACTCAACTGTTGGTTCCGGTTTTCCAGTCACCGGACAGCTCAGTGTCACTGAACTGTTTTCATTGACCGTTCTGTAAATGCACTGTTAGATACAAATTTTTAAAATACGTGAAGCTGCCCTCAAGACGGAGGAACCACCGGCAGTGCTATGTAGCGCGTGGCAAATGTTGGTAAAGGCTATTACTCAAGCTACATTTGAAGGCTTACATTTTTCAGCCATAAAGAAATTTCAGCGGGTTTTTGATTTTGACAAAATTAGACCATTTTTAAGA